ACCGAGTCGAAGCAGACGGCTCAGTCGGCATTTACTTTACAAGTATCGGCTGCAGAAGGGGATGAGTCACCCATGTATTTAATATGAGGGTGACTGAGTGTGCATAGTGCTGACGAGGTCCGATAAGCCATAAAGACTTTTGAGGCTAGAGAAATGATGACTTTGAACTTGCATTCAATGTGATAGCAATCGACTCTCGGCGGGGGGCTTGAGGATAAATTGCCTTTCTACTCGTCTTCATTGAGAGGGTTGACAAGTGGTGCCTTTCGCTTCGGTTTTATCAATGAGCCGATAAGTACTGCCTTTTTAGTCAGCCTCAAAGTTTATCGTCCCAGCCTTGTAGAGTGGAGAGGAGTAGGGTCGGCTTGAATGGTGAGTCAAGTGAGGACACCTCTCGACTCGGCCATTGTTAGGAAGGGTCAAGTGTTAAAGCCGCTCGAATAGTCCCTCCCAAAGTATGACTGCTTAGGTATTCTAAGGAGGGACACGTGTCGACTCTTCATCAATGATTAACACTTAGTTATTTCGTAGAATATAACACTAGCCCCTTTCACTCAAACTTGAGTAGCTGAGTCCGAGTAAAACTGAATAGTTGATTGTTGGATATTCGAGGTGCATTTTTGAGAAGACTGATAAGCCGTTGTTGATTCGATGTCCTAACGTCATGAAAGGTCGTGTGTTGGCATCGCCTCATTTCACGAGTATAAATGGTGTGTCAACCAATGGGTAGTGTTTCGGTTACGGAGCGGTCACTTTGATTTTCAAAGTCGATCTCAGTCGTCCGTCAATAACCTAGTCGACCACACTGAACTCGCCACGTGCCCACTTCCAAGCTTATATATACTAGTTCTACTGAAGAGTTTGTTTACAAATTTTTTGAACCCTAAAACTCTCTGCCTCTCAAGAGATTTTTGATCTATTCCTGGCGATCTCTCTTCCAAATGGTGTCTACTACTACCATTGTTGCCTACAACAAGGCCATAATCGATCTTCTAAGGAAGTTTCACATGAAGTTGTGTGCAATGGAGCTTGAAAGTTATTATAAATGCTACAACATTCCTTGTGAATTCACGTTGTCAGTGCCGAGAGGGCTCAGGCGGTGTACGACCACAACGACGTGATTGCTCTGGTATATCTCCATCATTTGGAGTATGATCTGCGTTTGTTACTACCCTTTCCTCCATCTAGTCCTTGATGCTTTGGGAGTCCCTCCCTCCCAAATCAAGCCAAACTCTACCACCACACTGGTGGGGTTTGTTGTTTTTTGCCATCACGTGGGAGTCGAGCTGACCCTCCATATGCTTGGCCATCTTCTTAGTGTTAAGATTAGGAAGAAGGAGGGTCATTATTACTTTCAAAACTGGACGGCTTCAAAGTCGTCTTAAATGCTCCTGACTCGAACATAAATCGAAAGGAGAAGTTTATTTGGGTCTTTAGGGCCAACTCGATCATGTCTTGCTTGGCTTGGTCCGAGATCAAGAAGGATGTTCTGAAACATAGCTTCCTTACGACTAAGGAGAATCTTGGGCTCGAGAAAATTTAGGCCTATTCTGGGTCGCGCTGGATTAAGAATTTGTTTGACCAAGTAGCTCTATAGGTGGCCGGCATCTCCATAATCCCATCCACCGAAGAGGACACAATCCGAATAGCGGTTCTGGCTTTGCCACTAAAGGAGTTAGAGGCCCCTTAGGTGGGGACTTCAGTTAGACCCTAGAAATGTCTGAGGTCTTAGTTGGCCCCTGTAGAGGCCGAGGAGTTAATAGCGAGAGCGACCGAGATTATCGCTTAGCTGGCTGGGCCAAGTGCTTCTACCGCTCGGCCAAGTGCTTCTACTGTTCAAGCCGAGAGATCCGAGAAGAAGAGGAGGAGGCTGTGAAAAGTGAGTGGCCAAGATATCTTTGGAAGCATTGAGCCAAGCTGGGCTGGGGAGGAGAGCACAGCAGAGGCGGCCAC